AGGGAAGGGAAGGGAAGGGAAGGGAAGGGAAGGGAAGGGAAGGGAAGGAAAGGAAAGGAAAGGAAAGGAAAGGAAAGGAAAGGAAAGGAAAGGAAAGGGCTCCTGTTGCTGAGCATCAAACCTGCATCCCTCTCGGGGTTCCAGGACATCAGTCAGAGGGGCAGGGTTGGTGGTGTGTGTACCCAGAAGGAACCCCTCCCTCCTTGTGAGCCCCCAGGGGCCATGGGCTGAGGGGACCCAGCTGTCCCCTTCCCCAGTAGAATGTGAGCCAGTCCCTGGTCCACAAGCCGCGGGGCTGGGGATGATTCAGAGGCCGGTGCCTGCGACACGAATGCAATTAGATCTAATGGGACGGAGCCCTTTCTTCTGCAGCTTGGCGCCCACCCCACCTCCCTCAGGCACAGCAGGCAGGAGAGGGCGGGATCCATGGGAGGTGGGAGGTGGGGGACCCGGAGGGGCTTTGACGTCAGCTTGGCCTTTAAGAAGCCGCCCGCCAAGGGCTGTGGAGAGAGAGCCCCGGACCACTACACCGCACCATGCCCACCCCCAGTGCTGCCGCCGCTGCTGCTGCGCCACAGCCCAAGGGCTTCCGAAGGGCTGTCTCTGAGCTGGATGCCAAGCAGGCCGAGGCTATCATGGTAAGGGGGCACACTGGCACCCCTGGGCCAGTGTGCGCCAGGTACCCAGGAGCCCACCTGGAGTCGGCAGGGTTGGTGTATGTCAGGCCCCAGGGGTGCCCCGTGCCCTGCTGTGTGTGTGTCACTTCTGTGTTCCGCAGTGCTCTGGGAGATGGTGCCTGTCCCCTGGGCCAACCTCTGGGGTTTGTGCGGGTTGCTGTGTGTCTTGCTTTGGGAATCAGGAAAAAGACTCCCCTTGGGCGTCCTGAAAGGGAGCTCTGTGATGAAGACGGTGTGTGCTCGCAGTCAGCCAGGGCCCCTCTCCACCATGTCCTGTCCATGCAGCCACACTGGTCTACACCCACTGCCTTCTGTACCCAGCTGCCTTTATCAGCCCCGGGGGAGCCACTCCAACCTCCCTGGCCCAGAGACAGCCTGTGGCAGTGTCCAGCAAAGCAGGAGCAGGCCAGGCTCTGTTGTGCCGAGGGTCCTATGGCTCTGTGGTGACTTCTGCCCCTTCTTCTCCTCTCCCCGAGCCCCAAGTACAGGCGACGTGTGGGGCAGGACACTGAGCTGAACACTCTGCTGGATTGGACAACTGCGTCTCAGTCCCCAAGGGAAGCTTAGTTCTGCCTCTGGGCCCAGAGCAATGGCTCCCCACACAACCAGGAGGGGCTGGTGTTTGTCGACCTTAATGGAGGAAGCTTAATCTCCAGTCACGTTTCAGGGACAATATGGTGTCAAAAGGCCCCATCCTCCCAGTGCCAAATCAGATTCCTCCCCTAGGGAGGCCCTGTCCCTCCCAGCCTACAGAGTTCTTTTGGGCCAGAGCAATGGCTCTGGTTCTGTCTACACCATCCACCCAACAGCAGGAGGGGTTCTGGAGGGCTCTGTTCCTCCTTCCACTTCCAGGATCCCAGAACCATGAGAGGGGTTTGTTCTTTTTTACCAAGGAACCAGGGACCCAAGACCTTTTTGGAATCTCAGGTCCAAGGCTGAGACTTGACCCCTTCTCACTCTAAGCCTGGGAGGGCTCTGGGGTTGGGAGGATTGAACATGTAAACCTGTGGGAGAGACAGATGGCCAGCAGAGGCTACCAGAGGCCACACAGGCCCCAAGCTCTGATGGAGTATGTAAGGGAGGCCTTGCCCCTACACCTCACAAAGGGGACCAGGAGGACACTCCCTCCCCTCTGCCCACCCTGATCTACAGAGACCTCCTGTGCTCTGGCCTCCCAGGGGCCCTGACTGCCATCCCTCTGTCCTTCTGTGGGCACAGGAGAGGCAGCTCCCCCATGTCTAATCCAGTTAAGGCCAGGCTTGGGGACAGGTGACACAGAACGTCTGCCTTGGGAGGCAGCTGGCCAGGCGCCTCGGCCCCTCACTCTACATGGCTTCCAGTGCCTTCCCATCAGCCATCCACCACCCCTTCCATCAGGGCCTGCACGCAGCACCCTGGAGAGGCCCAGCAGTGTGCCCATGTCCTGCCCTGTGAGCCACCAAGCAGCCTGTCTGGACCCTGAGGGCATCAGTGAGGAAACTGCAACACATCCCTGTCCCCCCTGTCCCCACAGTCCCCTCGGTTCATCGGGCGTCGGCAGAGCCTCATTGAGGATGCTCGCAAGGAACGGGAGGCAGCTGAGGCAGCAGCAGCAGCAGCAGTGGCCTCCTCAGAGCCTGGGGACCCCCTGGAGGCCGTGACATTCAAAGAACAGGAGGGGAGAGCCATGCTGAACCTTCTCTTCTCCCTTCGGGGCTCCAAGCCCTCTCCACTATCCCGGGCTGTCAAGGTGTTTGAGGTGAGTGCATGGACTGCCTCAGGGCTATGGGGCAAGTGTGTCCTCACCATGTGTGGGTCCTAACCTCTCCACGGCAGAAATGTAGCTACCCAGGGTCACTAGGAGATGAGGGTCCCAGAGCCTGGGTGAGATCCCACCCCAGCTCTCCCACGACAGCTACACACCTGGGGCAGAGGAGGGGTACAGCCACGTGGGAAGCTGGGTACTGCTGAGGCACAGCAGCTGAGATGACAGCTGGTCACATTACTTCCTGGGTGGGTGACCTCCTGGCTACTGGGAGAATCTCCCAGGTGACATTAGAGCCAGACTCCTTTGAGCTCCCAGAGCTGGCTGGGTGGCCCGAGGGTCCTGTTGCTCAGCAGCATGAAGTCGTGGTGGAATGACCACTGCCTAGCAGTCCCTGATGAGTACTTTGGACACAGGTCACCCCACCAGCCCTAGTGTGGCCTGTGGGCCCAGATGAGGCCATCAGGGAGGACTGGGAGTCAGGCTGCATAGACACAGCCTTAGGACCTGCAGACAGAACTGCCCTTAAGGGGAACAAGGGCACAGCTGGATGGCTCCCTGGTGGACATATGAGACAAAACCAGGTCTGCCAGAGGCAAACTCGGACCTAGCAACAGGAGCCTGCTGGGACTCTGAAAGATGGCGGTGCTGTCACAGCTGCAGAAGCCAAGGGCAGAGCCTGGCAAGTTGACCAAGCGAGACTTCATTTTTTTTCTCACTCTCTCTTCTCGCTGCTTTTTCCCCAAAGACATTTGAAGCCAAAATCCACCACCTGGAGACCCGTCCAGCCCCCAGGCCACGGGCAGGTGGCCCACACCTGGAATACTTTGTACGCTTTGAGGTGCCCAGTGGGGACCTGCCCGCCCTGCTCAGCTCTGTGCGTCGGGTGTCAGATGATGTGCGCAGTCCCAGGGAGGACAAGGGTGAGCCCTACATTCTGTCCCTGAGTGCAGTCCAGGGTGGGGGAGCCACCAGATGACCCCGGACCTAGTGAGCAGAGGCTCCTGCAGAGGAGAACACTTAAGTGACCTCACAGCCCTGGCCTCTGCCTAGGCTGGCCCTGCCCCTCCTCTGGTTCTGCTCCATGGCCTCTTCTGGGCCTGAACCACCTCTAGGATCCTGGTGGCTTCTAGGAAGGGGCAGGCTGTGTCCGAGGTAAGCAGCAATGGAGACCACACTCATCTGACTCCTCTTGCTCTGTCCTCTGGAAAGTTCCCTGGTTCCCACGAAAGGTGTCAGAGCTGGATAAGTGCCACCACCTGGTCACCAAGTTTGACCCTGACCTGGACCTGGACCATCCGGTGAGCCTGTGTCCCTGCCCTGTGTCCCTCCAAGTCACCCTGGTCAGCTCATCTGGGCAGGAGAGGGCAAGAAAGCCTCCTCATTGGGTGCCTGTCCCTCTGCCATCAGGGCTTCTCAGACCAGGTGTACCGCCAGCGCAGGAAGCTGATTGCCGAGATCGCCTTCCAGTACAAGCAGTAAGGGTCACCCACGCAGGGGCCCTGTTCTGTGGCCTCACACCAATGGGAGGTGGGGGACAGGAAAGGAGGCTGGAGGGGAGAGGCCATCTTTCCACCTACATCATCACTCCCTGCTGCTTCTGCCCACTGGGCTCTAGCCTCCTCCCAGCAGCTTTGCCTCATGGGCTGCATCCATCCGGCACAGAGGGGGGCTCTGACATTGCCCCCGGCACAGCTAGGGATACTAAGGCACAGAGAGGCTGAGCAACCTGCAAAGCCCACTCAGCCAGTCCTAGGCACAGCCAGCCCAGAGGGTACCCCACCTATCCCCCACCCCAAAGGCCTCAGTCCTGGCTGGCCAGGCTCTAAGCAAGCAGGGCTCCCTCCGTTCTTGTACTCTGCTCCCAAGGGGTGGGGACTGTGACTGACCACGAACCCTCCACAGAGGCGAGCCGATTCCCCAGGTGGAGTACACAGCTGAAGAGACTGCAACCTGGTGAGATCCATGACAGCCAGCTGGGGCAGGGTGGGGCTGGGCAGGGGAATCGCTGTGCAGGAGCAGCCTCCAGACACTAAAGCCAGGTGGGAGCGGGGCCCCTGAGGCTCAGATACCCCCAGGGATGCCCTCACCGCCCCCTGCAGTCTCCCATGCCACCAGCATCCTCCCAAGGCAGTGAATGGGGCCAGGGACAGTGGGAACGAATGGGGTTGGGGCACGGGGCCATCTGGCAGGCCCTGAAGCCTTGGCCCACAGGAAAGAGGTCTACACCACGCTGAAGGGCCTCTATGCCACCCACGCCTGCCGGGAGCACCTGGAGGCCTTCCAGCTGCTTGAGCGCTTCTGTGGCTACCGTGAGGACAGCATCCCACAGCTGGAGGATGTGTCACGGTTCCTGAAGGGTACAGGACAGAGGAGAGGGTGTGGGCAGGGAGGGACAGGGAAGGCATCAGCCCGTGGGACGTCCCTCCCTGGCACCTCTCCACCCTGACACTAGGGCCCTTTGCAGAGCGGACTGGCTTCCAGCTGCGGCCCGTGGCTGGTCTGCTGTCTGCACGGGACTTCCTGGCCAGCCTGGCCTTCCGTGTGTTCCAGTGCACCCAGTACATCCGCCACGCCTCCTCGCCCATGCACTCGCCTGAGCCGTGAGTGGCCCTGTGGCAGGGTAGCTATGCAATGGGGAGCAGTGGCACAGAGGTCCCCGGGGAGGTCGGGGGGAGGGGCAGGCCCGCGGCCCCCAGGCCTTTCCTCTCTCTGCCTCACACAGGGATTGCTGCCACGAGCTGTTGGGGCACGTACCCATGCTAGCTGACCGTACGTTCGCCCAGTTCTCCCAGGTGGGTCTGGGCCTCAGGCCAGGAGCTAAATCATTCAGGGGCTTTGCTGGCCAAGGGCTGCTGGGGCCAACAAGCCAGCAATGTGCTTTGTCAACTGGGGAGCTTGTGCCGGAGTGGACAGTGTCCTCGCAGCACCTGAGACTGAAAGGTGAAGGCGCCCTGGGGAGCTCCCCATCCACGGAGAGGAGGAGGCTTAGTGCTTCCTTGGGCCCCATCTTCAAGGTAGAGGTGCTAGTGCCTGTGCTGCCACCTGCTGGATTATCTGAGAACAGAGTGCTCCTACCTTTGGTTGTGGTGAGGGGCTGTGTGGGGGGATCTCTAGAGGAGCAGTTGACACTCCCATTGAATCCAGCACTGGGCTGAGTTCACTTTTCAGCCTTCTGTTCCCTCCACAGGACATTGGCCTCGCATCCTTGGGGGCCTCGGATGAGGAAATTGAAAAGTTATCCACGGTGGGTTTCTTCCTCAGCCAGGGTCAGAAAGAGGGAATGGTCAGGGCCCCTGTTCTGCCCAGAACCCCCTTCTGTCCCAGCCCTACCAGGGCCTGGGTTGCCATGGGGTGGAGTCTTGATCAGCCAGTGAGGGCTGTGGCAATGGCGGCCCTCTCACCTATTTGCCCCACTACCCTGACAGCTGTACTGGTTCACGGTGGAGTTTGGGCTCTGCAAACAGAATGGAGAGTTGAAGGCCTATGGCGCTGGGTTGCTGTCCTCCTACGGGGAGCTCCTGGTGAGACCCCAACAGCGGAGGACTGGGCCATGGTGTGGGAGGGGACCAGAAGCCTAAGTAGTGGGACCCCTCCGCCTGGCCTCCTAGATTTAAGTTCTCCTTGAAGAAAGCTTGTCTGCCAGTCCCCACTCCATGCTATCCCAAGGCCTTGTATGGACATGCAGGGGGGCTTGGAGTGGGCCCCCACCCAGAGCCAGTGTGCAGTCAGGCCATAGTACCCATTCTTTTGTGCCCTGGGGTATGGTGACTGCATGACCCTGGTGACTTCCTGCCAGCATTCCCTGTCTGAGGAGCCTGAGATCCGGGCCTTTGACCCCGATGCTGCTGCTGTCCAGCCCTACCAAGACCAGACCTACCAGCCCGTGTACTTCGTGTCAGAGAGCTTCAGTGATGCAAAGGAGAAGCTCAGGTGGGGATGAGCTCCCTGCCCTGTCTGCAAGCTGTCTGAGTGAGGCTTTCACCCCACCTGGGCACCCATTTCCTGGAGGATAGACCACCATTAGTCATAACACTCAGTTCACAGCTCACACACCTTCCCAGAGAAGGTCCCCAGAAGGTCTGAGCAGAGCGAGGCTGTGGGGCTGGGGCTTCAACATGGTCAGGTCAAGAGTGGGTCAAGGCCAGATCAAGACCATTTGGTAGAGCCTGAGCTGCTTAGGGACACTCGGAACCTTCCCAGGCCCTTGCCCCTGAGCACTCTGGGCTTCAGGTGGGATGGAGACAGGTCAGGTAGAACAAGAGGGAATGGGTGTGAGGGCTGGGAGGGGGGGTGAGCATGGAGGAAGATGGAATTTCCCAGGGTTGGAGCTGCAGTGACTGGAGGGGCCCAACAGGGGGCAGCAGAGCCTTGTAGGCACATCCTGGTAAAGGGTCTCTCTTTCCTTCCAGGACAGTTTGACCCAGAGAAAACTGAGGACAGGGCTGTGCCTGAAGAGAGGGAGGGAGCCTATACACAAGCTTAGGGAGCCTCAGAGCACATAGTCCTCCTGAGTAGGAGCCAGGGCAGCTGAAGAAGGGGCAACCAGCTGAGCTCTGCTTGGAAAAGGTCTGAAGGAGGCCTAGACAGATAAGTGTTAGGAGCTCAGGTCACCCAGAAGTCACTCAGCCCTGACCTCTGGCTGGCTTGAGGCTGCAGACCCTGCCTCCAGCTGCTGGCCCTGCCCCTTCCATGTCCCCATGGGGTGAATGCAGGTCTACGCCGGCTTCCTCCCCTAGGGGCTACGCCTCTCGAATCCAGCGCCCTTTCTCTGTGAAGTTTGACCCCTACACACTGGCCGTGGATGTGCTGGACAGCCCTCACACCATCCGGCGCTCCCTGGAGGACGTCCAGGACGAGCTGCACACCCTAGTCCATGCGCTGAGTGCCATCAGCTAGATGCAAGGCGCATGGGCCTACAGGTCCCAGGGGTCTGCCCTGGAGTCTCCTGCCCCTTCCCCAACCTGCTTGGCTCCTGTCCTGCCCCAGAGCCCAGGCCCACATAAAGGCTGGGTCCGGGGCACTCCCGGCTGGTGAATGGCCCTGCGCCCTTCCACCCTCCGCCCCCTGGGCCCCTGCTGAGCTTCCCTGCTGCTTCTAGCACTGCAACTGGTGTGTGTGCCTGTAAGGTCCTGTACTGCTGCCGCGTGAGCCCCCAGGCCACCGGCTGGCCTCACGCTGCCTTCCTTACCCTATACTCTCCACCATGCTGTTCACTGACTCAATAAAAGAAAGAAAGACTTCTGAGTGTTTGCTTGGCCTTTGCACTATGCCACAGGGATGGGCCCTGCCCTGACACCTGCCCAGCCTCGCTTGGAGAGTCCCCTGCCTCCTTCCAGGTGGAGCCCCCAGCCTCATTTCCTTGTTACCTAAAGGTGTCTCCCAACTCTGAGCCCCCCAACAGCCCCAGATGGCTAGAGAAGGCTCTGGCTGAACTATCCTCCATGGGAGCAGCACCATGGTGGGGACAGGGAGTAGGGGGAAGGCCTTCCTAGGCCTTTGTGGGAGCAGGGAGAATCTGATAAGTTCCAGGGGGCAGCAGAGCCAGGGACGGAGGAAGGGGACAAGACAGCTCCTCTGTCCCCCTCCCCCCACCCCACCCAGAGCAGAGTCCCAGAACTGAGAGGGGCCTCTGTGTGCTCCCGTGTCAACGGAAAGAGCTCGGCTGGAGAGGCTCCCAGGCAAGCCTTCTAGGCCTCTGTCTCTAGAAAAGCAAGTGAGGGGTTGGAGGGCGGGCTGCCCCTCTACTTCAGCTCCCTAGAGGAACTTGGTAGATCCCCAGGCCTCATCGGCCAACCCTCTTCCCAACCTGCTTCTGGCCTTGTAAAGCATGGGCCAGGCTTCCTGCAGGCGCCCAGCTCTGAACTTCCTGTGGTGGGTGGTACTCCAGCCAGGGCACTAGGCCTTGCTCCAGGTGCTGCGCCAGATCCGCAGCATCCCTGGCTCTGAGCTCTGAGCAGAATGCTGGGAAAGCCCTGATCCTTCCTCCAGCCCTGGACAAGGCCCCAGGCCTCCTTGGCTTCTGTCTTTCCCTCGGCTGTTCCTTGACACCTCCCAGTGTCCACATTCCTTCACCACAGGAGCCATTGCTTAAGGGCTGCGAGACACATCAGGTGCAGGGAGGCCTTCAGCCCCAGGGAGACCTGGGAGAGGACATGAGTCCCATCAAGATTCTGTCATAGGCTGTGAGCCCCACTGTGACCATGGGGGAGGCCCTGGGCCCCTTGGGACCCTTAGCTTCTGATTAAGCCCTGTTGAGACACTAGGAAAACCCTTGAGTGTTTTCCTGACGAACACCTTAAGCCCCAGTGAGGCTTTGGCAAGGGCCGTGAGCCTTACTAATGGACAGCCATGACCCCAGAGAAACCCTGAGAAAGGACCAGCCCTTCACTGAGACCCTAGAACAAATCATGACATCCACTGAGGCCTTGGCATGTCCAGGCCATAGCTCCCACTGAGAAGCTGGGGCAACCTCCAAGTCCACTGAGACCTACGGGCTCTCTGGGGACTCTGCAGGAGGCCTTAAGCCCTTCTGAGACTGAGCAAAGCGCTGAGGCCTCTGAAGACCCTGGGGAAAGCTGAGAGCCCTACTGAGACACTGAGGAAGGCTGTGAACCTTGTCGTAACCATGGAGATGGTCAGGCTTTGAGCTCCACTGAGACTGAAAGGAGGGCTCTGGGAACCACTGAGGCCAGGGGTAAAGCCTGTCACCACCCCACTGACCCACAGAGGAAGGCCTTAAGCCCCTTTTACAACCTGAAACCTGGGAGGAGTCCCTGACACCGCTGAAAACCTAGTAATGAGGGAGATTCCTTCTAAGACTCTGATGACGCCAGGCACCTGATTAAGCCCTGTTCAAGCCTGGGCTGAGGCCCTAGGGATGGCCATGGGTCCCTGTAAGACTCTAGGCAAGGCAGCAAACTGCACTGATGCCCAACAGAAGGTTTTATGCTCCATCGAGACCCCAGGCTAAGCTGTGAGAGCAACTGGAACTCTAGGCATGTCCGGGAGCCCCATGGATACACTGGGATGGGCTGTGACCCCTGCTGAGACCCCAGAGCCCTTCAGCTCCTCTGAGACCCATGACAAGATTGTGGACCTCATGATGGTTCTGTGGTAGACTGAGCCCATGGAGACTCTGGGAAACCCTGAGTTCCGGGACCCCTGGGTGAAGCTGTGGGCCCCATTCAAAGCCTGGGTAAGGGGGAAGACCAGAGAGACCTGGATCAGGGGCCTGGGCCTCGCTGAGATCCTATAGAGAGCCAGGAACCCCACTGTGGCCTCCAGGAGACTAAGCTCCCCCCCCCGCCCCCACTGTGAGCCTTATGCACACCTGGGTGAGGCTGAGTGAGGCCTTATTCCTTATGGAGAAGTCACAGCCCCACTGAGGCTAGGGGAAGGCATTAAGCCCCTTGAGAAAGCAGGACAGTCTCTGAGTGTCCCTGACTCTAAGGGTGGTTTTAGACCCCGCTGAGACCTGAGGGGGAGCCCAGGTGCCATCAGGCAGCTGGGCAGGGGCCTGATCTTCACGAAGATGCTAGAAAGAGTCACAGCCCATTGAGCCTTTGGTGAAATCTGGGCCCACTGAAAAACTGAGCAGTGTTGCAAACCACCATGAGACCCTGGGGGAAGGTATGAAAGCCTAGGAAAGGACCCTCAGCCCCGCTGAGACCCCAAGGGAAGCCTTGAGCCATACGGGACCCTAAGGAAGCCTTGAGGCCTATTAATGTCCTGGATGGCATCATAGGTTCTCTGAGACTTTAGAGCCTGAGACAGACGGCTGAGGCCGTCCCTGCCACCAGCCTATGAGAAGGCCCTGAGCACCCCACTGAGAGCCTGGGGAATAATGTGAGTCTCTTTAAGTCTTGGGGTGAGCTGGGCATGGTGGTGCACACCTGTAATTCTAGCACTCTGGGAGGCTGAGTGAGGAACACAAGCTTGAAACCAGCCCGAGTGACTGTTTTAGTTACGTCTCTCCTTGCTGAGACAAAACACCCAGCATCCCAAGTTAAAGGAGGACAGCTTTATTTCAGCTTACCGTTTGTAGAGGTTTCAGTCCACAGTTGGCTGGCTCCAAGGCAGGGTGGCCTGGCAGAGGGGCATCATGGAGGAGAAGCAGCTCATGTCAGGCCGAAGGCAGAAGGCAGCAAAACAGTAGCATTAGCATTAGCATTAGCATTAGCATTAGCAGCAGCAGCAGCAGCAGCAGCAGCAGCAGCAGCAGCAGCAGCAGCAGCAGCAAGCCTGCCTTTGTATTTCATCCAGGCCATCCAGTGTGTGGGTGGCGGCAACCATGCCCAGGGTAGGGATTTGTTTCTTTTTTTCCTTTTTTTGGCTGGCTCAGGCTGCCTTAAGTGTGGGTCTGGAGCTGGGGATCGAACTGAGGCATTTGCATAAGCAGGGAGGCTGGGGCACTCTTAATCCCAGTATCATACATGGACTCCTAGTGTGACACATCCTAGATCCAGCCACTTCTTTAAAAACCTCCTCTGACCCTATGAGCCTTTGGGGGACATGTAGGCACAAACTGTAACAGCAACTTAGCAAGTCCTTGTCAGGAGGGAAGGGGGGGGCGAGAGAGAGAGAGAGAGAGAGAGAGAGAGAGAGAGAGAGAGAGAGGAGAAAAAGGAGGAGGAGGAGGAGGACGAGGAAGACGAAGAGGAGGACGAGGACGAGGAGGAGGAAGACGAGGACAAGGAGGAGGAGGAGGAAGAGGAGGACAAGGAGGAGGAGGAGGAGAAGGAGGAGGAGGAAAGGGGCCGGGGAGATGGCTCAGTAGAATAAGAGTTTGCCTGGCAAGCGCAAGAGCC